TTTAAAGTTTTTTATTTGAATAGCTAATAGGACAAAGGTTCTTTATACACAATATTAAAAATTAATCAGACAGTAGAAGAACCGATAATTGGAATAATCTTTTGGGATTTATGAAATGCTAAGATACTTCTGGGCGAATATAACCAGGAAATACCGGAAGTCTGTATCAACCTGTTCTTGCTCAGGATGATTTAGTCTTCCATTGTAACAGGGATCCTTATTCGAGCATTGCCGACTCAAAGTACACCTTAGTAAACTGAGAGGAGTAGAAGATAGTGACCGCAGAATATGTGAGGAGGATGAAACCTCCATTCCCATTCTGATTGAATGTATAACACTCCAGAATCCAAGAGCTCTATACTTAGGAGAATACCAAATAGAAGAAGTCGATCTACCTAACTTAAAGCCACTCCAAATCCTACACTTCCTTGAGAAGATAAGATTGGAAGGGTCGTTATAGGCATCATATTATTTCCTCGATGCAATAGCGACAGAAGGGGACACAATAGATGTTTTAGGTCGCAGTGCATTAATAACATAGTTTAACGATAGTTTAATTTATTTATAGTTTATTTATTTAAAACACACAATTTACAATTTATTTATGACGTAATTTATATAATACTTAAGCACTATTATAACTCACAATTTTAATTTATTTATTACAATTTATCTTCTCTGTCCAATACTTAAATTCAATCTTCCCGTTCGTCAACAACTCGCGCTATTTATAAAAAGCCCAGCTCTGTACGAGTAGTTTCTAGACTTTCCAGAACGATCGAAAACTGTCTCTCTATGACTCATGCACTGCGGTCATTCCGGAAGTTTCGAGAACCGGTGCGTTTGTCTCTATATTGCCAGACTTCATACCGCGGGCAAGGAATAAACAAAGCAGAGGGCAGACTTTTGCGCGACAATTGGTTCTTTATCTTCTGGAAACATCTTTATTTGAAAAAATATCATAACAGATCATAGTTGGAATGAATGTTAGGTACATAGGACATTATTTGAGTAAAAACATCGTTTTAAAAAAAAGCACATGTCTTTTATCCACTCATATTTTCAGTAAATTTCTTTGCTAGATAAGGTAACTATAAAATTTCACGAGACGTTTCTGCATCTTCAGCGAACAAATTTGGCTTTATTACGGCAGCTAAGCTGCTGGGCGTTGACGACCTATAAAATCTAGACTACATGTCTCATAACTGAGGAATTGTGTAGCTGCTACAGGAAAGAAAAATGAATTAATTAATTCAAGCCCACTTGAGTTATGAAAGTTTATTCTGCAATTTAGGCTGGAAATTAGCCTGGCTGTCTGCTTGCCTAATAATAATATTGCTTAGAATATTGTTCACAATTGCTGTAAGCAATGCCACCGCAGCCTGTGAGAAAAGATCTAATAGTATTTATTAATAATTTTTTATTCTCATTACAGTTGATGATAAATATGATTTTCAGTGAAGAAACTATTTATTATTACAATATTCAGTAATCTGAATAATCATTTTCATGATATTTGACCAATAATAAATATTCTTAAAATAATAATATTGTTTTTGGATAATAATTGATTATTAATAGACCACCAAAACATGCTTTTACAATTAAATATTTTTTCTAGTTTTTAAAAAGTTTAAGTTTTGGAAAAAATACATTTTATTAAAAATTCTATGTGGGAGGGAGCGGCAAACATGGCATCTGCCCCGGACGGCAGAAACATACGCTACGCCACTGGTATTTTCGTAGAAATAATAAATAACTCGCTATATAAAGCAATTACGTACTCATAGAATTACTATTTTTTTTCAGTGTCACGTTAGTTATGAAAGGATGATATCTGGGACTATTTCCCTTGGTGCTTCTGATAATGTTGATTTTAATAATTGCTTTTTTATAAAGTTTTTTACAAGCTTTTTCCTATTTCTTTTTATTGTTATTAGATTTAAACTAGAAATTTAAAATCTATTTAGAAATATTAAACTTTTGATTTATCTTTTATAAAATTAACTATTCAATTTAAAATCGTATTCGGATGAGTACGTAGATTGATTTCGATAATCTATTTCCGAAATGGTTTTAAGGATTATTCAGGCCATTCATTCGAGAAAATCCTATTGGAGTTGCCGAGATAAACATTGTTTATTCATTTCGCATCCTATTATTTTAACATCCGATTATACACGCAGAATTAAACATTATATCAATATTCAATATTTGTTTTGTATTACGTTCGATCAGAACATTTAGTGCCTGATATACAGGGTTGAACAAAATCGACGGAACACCAAATAACAAAAAACGCTCTGGCAGATCTATTTTGTTTATTAGATATGTAGAATTCGTGCCGCTACGTAAAAAATGTGCTTTTGTAATTGGTACTATCAAAAAAGGTATTCCATTCAAAAAACTGGTGATGATTATACAGTGTGTGCCATAAGGTTGGATCCATATTGGAATTTTTTTTATTATTACGATTTGAAAAACTTTGTAGGGCAATCACCTCTGATTTTTAAAAAACTTAAAATAGCCCATATCAAAGTTAGCTACTGACAATAGTTTTCTGCCAAATTCGCATTTAAAAATTTTTTTTTTTTAAATTTTTCAAAAAATACCGAATTCGACAGATAACTAATGCAGTACTTAGCCAAACTTTAATATGGGCTATTTTAAGATTAAAAAAAAATAGAGGTGAATGCCCTACGACGTTTTTTCCAATAGTAACAATAAAAAAATCCCATAAGGATCCAACTTTATGGAACACACTGTATCTCGAGTAGTGATGACGTCATAAAAGTATACGTGTATCAAAAAATTCGCATCTAACAAACAAAATGTACCTGCCGGAGCCTTTTTGTTATTTGTCCATAAAAGCTAGAAATTCGCCCATTTTACCCAACTTTACATTTAATGCTTCTTCAAATATAAAGAACGGACAATATGTCGGAAAATAACGAGATTGGATCTGCGTAGAATACAAGAAAAAAATGCCAATCAAAATTTTTAGAGTGTTTTTTTGTGAAAATATTATAATATACATAGAAGCAGCTGTGTACTGTAAAAGTTGTGCCGAGTACAAAAATAAGCCAAATTTAGAGGCAACAATAAACTAGTAGCCAAATAATACTATTACATTTTCAAAATTAGATAGAGTCCTTCCTTTCAAATAGTTATGCTCTATTTTGGATGGAATAAAATGCAGCAACAGACTCATTTATACAAATAAACTAACTTTTATTTATGTAACAAGAGAATAATTTGTTAAATATTTTCAAAATAATATGCTGGATCACATATAAAAAAGCTACAGAAAATTTGTTTTTTTCCATATTGTTCAAAAATGTTTTTGGAGTTTACTTACTAATCATTAACAAATGATGAAAAGACTTTCTGAATAATTTTTTTTATAAAAAAAAACAGTTTTAAAGGCAATAATAATGCCATGATAAATCAACAAAGATTTTTTTTTAAATTTATAGTTTGGAATAAAGTCATTGTAGTAACCAAGAAAGAAAAAGATCAATCCAAATCATTATTGGGTATATAAATTTAATTCCACGAGAAATAGATAATATAATGGAAATTGGAAAAACAAGCATTACGATATTCACAATGAAGTATTAAAAGCAGGAGAACACATAAATATAAAAGTGTAACCAACAAAATCAAGAAAAGCAATAAATAGACTGATATAAGAAAGAAACACTAATATGATATTATACAATAACCTTCCTAGTAAAAATTATTATATAGACAAATTAAGTTGGTATCGAGTAGGAATAGCCAGAAAAGCTAAGATTTAGAAATTAACTAAAAATAAAACAAAAAGAGATATATATCACAATGATACTAGAAAACAGATATTGCAATTGGTATAGACACCTAACCAAAATATTACTTGATAATTTAGTTTAAAAATAATAGACAGAAGAAGACGAAAAAAGTGATAAACCCCGAAAATTATTACAAGAAGAAAGAAGAGATTGAAAGAAGCAAAGTGAAAACAACGAAGGAATGCAGAAAATGGTACAGGACCGAAAGAAATGATAAAAGAATGGTTAAATAATCAAGGGGCGGATGCCATGAAACTAAAATAAAAAGAAATGATAAAAGAAAAATAAGATTATCTAATAACCGCAAAAAGCCTTATAAATTTTAGATGAAGAAGAAAAAGAGGAGAGAAGAAATGAAGTAACTAAATTATTTAGATAAATCCATTGAAATAAAATTGGGAAAGAGTATTCTTCTATGTCAATTAACAACGAACAATTACTAGACTAATTTTGTTTACAAAAATTGAATTGCAGACATTCACGGTGTCATCTACGTAGTTGTCAAATTATTATAAGAGAGTATGAGTCTTGTTACAAGAATTGTTTATGGTATAATTCGGAATCGACTTAACATAAGGCTCTAAAATGCACAAAAGACTTTCAAAATTACATTAAGGAAGTATATTTGCTTTTTTAATTCCAATTATTATCAGTTCAATGTCTTTTTCTCTTTGCAACTATCATAGTGTAGTTGAAGTCGATTTCCAGGAAAATTCTAAATTTATTTTGAAGAATGACATCAGTGTAAAGCAAGCGTCGTAGCCATAATAACTGATTTATTTAGAAAACGTGTACTTGCACTTCAGATAAACAAACTCGCGCCAACCATCCCCACTCAAATTAGCTGCCATTTCGCTCTTTCTAATGAGGCAGCCGATGCGACAGCTCTGTCTGCCTGTTATAAAACACAATCTGAATGTTTGCAATAAATAAGGGCTTAATGAATAGATTAGTCTAGTAGTTTTTTCATCGTTGATATCAATACATTTTTCAATTCCTATAACCATTTTTTTACTTGATAGCTAATTTCCTGTGGCTTTTTAATTATAACAAAAAATGAGTCTATACCCGCAAAAATCTAATCTATAGTGACATTTTATCAATTTAGTGGCTTAGGAGATATAAAAGACAAGTAATCATGAAAAAATGACGGAACAGAAAACAACTTACCGGTTATAGAGCACAATAATCGTAGCGTGGTATTCGTGGTTCCTTGGTACTGGTTTATCATACCTTGGGAATGAGCCTTCGGCGCCGGCATACTCAGAGTTATGGCTTTGTGGAATTTACGTCTTCTAGGTTCGACAGTTACTATTGGAGATACGGCAACGCCGTGTCCGAGTAGTTTGGATACCAGTTCGGGTTCTATGCCTTGCGCCTAAAGATACAAATAAATAAATTTAGAATTTGCCATAAAAGCATTTCATAATATAAATATCCAAAATATCCTCAAAGATTGTAAGCTGACTGCAGATCTCTGATAGTTACTATTGTTTTTCTGACAGTTATTTAAACAAGAACCACAAGGGCATAGATAAAAATGTTTACTTTAACTATCGTGGTAAGACTATTCACACAGGTACATTCATATCATTATGTTAATCACCAGATTTGGCCTAAGACACAAACATTAATAAACTGTTAGGAATAAAGCCCATGTTACCACGAGCATAAACTATAATAAGTTTCTTTCCTTTCGAAATGGTGGAAAACAAACCTTTTGTATTATCATCACCCCAATTATGTGATGATGTATGGCTACTATGTATGTAAGTTTCATCAATATATACAATGGGATGGTTTTGAGAACGAAAATATCAATTTTTTTTAATATAATCTATTGTTTTTCCCTGATGTCAAGCCGTTCTATTAGAACATGTCTGTTGTTTCGCGTTTTTCGCTACTTGAACCCAATTTTTTTTTAAATACTTCTTAATGATGTGTAGCTCCCTTTCCACTCAATTTTCTTTTTTAATTTTTCACTAAGAGTTTTGACTGTTACGCGCATACCTTGTTTCGTGAAATCTATGAACTATATCTCTGATTGTTCCAATATTGTAGGATGGAATATATGTTACACTTGATGTTCTTTTGCGTCTTTTTGGACTTTTAAACAATTGTTTAGGTATGGTCAACGTAGACTTTTCACCTTTTGATATCTGGTCACCTTCTATAATTATTGGTTCAATTGATTTTACCAAGCTTCAGCAACTTGTTCTATAATTTCAGTGAAAGTTTTGGGATCATCATTCACAACACATTGCCTAGAAGTTTCACTATCATCGTTGTTTTTTTTTTAAACTATTTGTTGCCGAGGAACATTTTTTTCATAAAATATTCGAATAGATGAAATATTATTTCCTACCTAAATGTTTCGGAATTTTAACACAAGTAACTCACTACTCAAAAGAAAACACTACAATCAAATAAAAATAAAATATAACTCAAAATCTGCACGCTACACAAACAAACACAAATTCAAGAAAATATTATCATCTACTGATTGCCCCCGACAACACGGCTATTGTTTGCATCTCTCTTTAACAATTACAGTAGGCGTTGATAATTGAAATTCGAGATTAACGCGCATTCCCTCTTCAGACAAATTAGGTTGCGATGCCTGTACTGCATTTTAAATAGCATAAATAATGACATGATTGATGCACCGTAGGGCTACTGTCAGAGCACAGTAGCCAAATAAAAAAAAGCGAGAATGTTTATACTCACTTGTAAGCCAACTCTAATCTTCTTAGTAAGTGCATTCGGCGGGAAAACCGCTTGAACCAATGGTACCGCACTGCTGGAAACGGTACCACCATCTGGACCAATGGCGTGTACTTCTTGTCTAATACGCGATATGACTGCGAAATAGTGTGGAAAATCGTTGGTGACAATACGAGTTATGCGACTAGTGTGTAAGTCTTCAATTTGGCTCAACTCTAAAAAGCATAAAAAAAAATAGATTTAGGGTCCTAAATAAAGCAATGGTTCCTTATTACCTTCTCCGTCAAAACTATGATTTAGCACGTCCTGTATTGCTTCTTCGCTCGCTTCCAATGTATGTTCTTTCCAAGTTTCACCATTGTCGGATCTCAAAACAATTATTTCCCGCTGTTTTCCACGCAGCGAAGCAAAATGAGGAACTTCTATAATAACTGGCCTACAATTATTAAAATTTGCTTTACTGTCTGGTAATTCAACAAATAATAAATTTTCAACTCGATCCCAAATTTAATGACTTACCCCAAAAATTTAGCACCAACAGGCCCGAGTTCCAACAATCTGCTCGCCAAGGCTTCGCCCTCCATCAGCGGCGGAGGATGGGGCGTCCTTTGTGGTCTCACATACCGACAGGTGATTCTCGTAGGACTTGAAGCACATCTCGGAGGTACGATAACTCTTACTCCTGAATGGCGACATCCTCTCATAGCTCCCCCTCTCGCGTCGACGATGAACGACACCAAGAAACTATAGAAAAGAGCACGAAAATGTTACCAAATGGGCGAGGTACTAAGATTTTCTGAATAAGGATATTTTTGTGTCAGTTGATAGAAAAATTTAAATATTTTGGAAATTATGAGACCTTAATTACAATTTTTAGGTGTTTTATTAATTCATAATTGTTTTGATTTTAATTTAGAAAGTTCAAAAGGGTTTATTTTCAAGTGTTCAACTTCGTCGTAGCTAAACTAGTTTCTTAATGAAGTAGTAATATACAGTTTGAATCCTCAAGTCATTATATGAAGAAAAGTTCATATCAACATATGTCCGCAACTGCTTAAATTTTTTTCTAAAGCCTTTTTTTAATCTCCACATATTTTGGACAAAAAGATATTCTATTGCTCCTCCAGTGGCGTCTCTGCAACCAAATCCTGATATTTTTTCTGATTGCCCTGGTCAATTCTACATGAAAACAATCTCTTGTATTTTTCGGGCGAACTGTTATTGATGAAAATAATTAAATTAACTGCAACGATGAAATTACAAAAAAAAAACAAGTTGTGGCATTATTTAGCAGAGCTAATTTCCCTAACCTAACCATGATGAATTTAAATTTTAATTTAATTATTATATTTTTATTTTAATATGACGAGAAAAATGCAAGGTTTTCATGTAGAAATTACCAGGCTAATCAGAAAAAAAAAAACAACACGGAAAAATGTCAATGACAAACTACTTTTTTTGTAAAAAATATATCATAGGATATGTTTGCAGAGACGACGCTGGTGAAGCAATAGAATAACTTTTCTCCAGGGCTACTACTGAATGCAGTTCTTCCGAAAACATTCTCGCTCTCGATATTGAAAGAATATTCTGAAACACTTGCCTCTTATGTATTTTACACTGATACAGAATGTTCATTATGTAACAGTAACTGGCCAATGGCTGTGAATACCACGCCCGCATCGTAGATAATCATGAATTTCATGACTGAGAGTTCTACGTGACGTATTAGTACTTAGTTTGAATTTGCCGGAATAAAGATAAACGGCGTTTGTTAAGTAGAACTTACATTCAAAAATTGGTGAATATAATGATTCTTATATGGAATTTGATAATATTCCTCCTGAACTGACAAATTATGCAAATAATTTAAATGAAAACTTGCCTAACATAGGTTAGATTAAATTTTTCATTTTGTTCAAAGTTTAATTTTAATATAATCAACTCCTACTGTGTGTGGCCGTAGAGAAATTATAGTCTTTTACTCTGTTAGAATGAAAATGTGATATTTGTAGTTTTCCACTCGTATCGAATTTTCATTCCAATCTTGTTACAGAATATACAATTTCCAAGAAAAAATACGTGGTTCTATATTCTATTTCCATGCACATACCAAAATAGAAAATAATATCTATTTCATGTTAATATGAACTTTTCTTCATAAAATGACACGAGCAATTGCACCCTGAAATATTAGCAAATCACTAAGAAACTACTAGTTTTAGATCTTTATTTATACTACATTTTTCAATAAATTTTGTATTGAAATGTATTATAATTGTATGAACTAATTGTTGTTGTAAATACAACTGTTTGTTTAATTTTTATCAATCTTTATTGTATTTGTAGATGTGTTTCTATTGATTTTATAAATGGTGTTAAGTGACTCATTACATTTTAGGGCCGCTTTTACAAAGCATAGATAATCGATAAGAAAATGTCGATAGACAAAATCAAACAAGGGAATAAACTATTTATTTTCAGATAAAATATATAACGGATTGAAGTACCTACTTATTGTATTACTTTAATACAGATGAAAAGCTCTATTTTCATATAAAATAAACAGGAAATTAAGTTTCAAATTATATGAATTACATATTATATAATATATTTTTATCAAAATTTGTATCGAGTTTATTGTAGCTTTTGATGTTGACACAGCATTATATCAAACTAAGAATTATAAATACTATCTAAATTGGTGGAAAAGACCTCTTCAAATTTTTTCACGTCTATTGCCCTGCATTTTAAAAGAAAAATGCAGAAATACTTCAAATTTTTAACTCATCTAGGTCAATTCAAATTTTGTCCAAAAATTTGCAAATGATAGTGTCAAAATTAGACATAAACTTGAATTCACCATTCAGATTAATTTTCGCGCGCCTGTCATTTGCCACCTATAATTAGGATATTTGTTTATTTGATTTGTGTAAGTTTTGGGCGGGCCTATGTGATTTTTTAACTGTTTTTAGATGTATCATTATAATGAATGTAACAACACTTCATATAAACAACTTATCTTCAAATGAACAAAAATCATCATCTACAAAATGCAAGAACATACTCGCATGGTGGTAAAAGGGTGTTTTCGATTTTTGGAATAGAAATCCACCGTTTTCGCATGTCAACCCACTCATATTGCCAATTTTATTCTTAATAAGTACTTAACGGTTGCCCATCTTTAAAATATGATGAAATAAACCTAATTAACGACTCCGTTTTGATTTAAAAGTGCAACCTTTATTACGGCAATATAGATACAATTTGCTGGAGGCTTTTCCCAAATTTCTTTTTTAATAATAAAGACTATCACAGTTATCACACACTATAAGAAATAAACAAATTTAATGCTCACAAATAAAAAAAATTCGAATTGATAAAATTTACTATCGGTGACAGCAGACAACACAACAAGGCCAATGTTGCCAACTGATGAACTGATTTTAAAACAAAATTGATAAATAAACTGAGATTTTTAAAAAAAAATCAATATAATTAAAACGGTTTTATAAAAACCTTAAATAAAATATAGAGTAACGATTACATATTGGTAGACACACATTCACTACTTGATAAAATAAAGTCTTTCCACTTCTTCAAGGGCTAAAAATCCGATGTCGTAGCGGTATTTCCCTACTGCTGGCAACACTGAAAAAGTCCTACTTATAGACACCTTCTACAAATTTTCTCCAGAGGGCATATCTCTTAGCTTTAATCGCGTATATTAGGACCAGCAATACTGTCCAATAAAATTGTAGGTCATGTTGTTTGAGAGCCCAATTTCAATAACCACTTCTCACACACACACAATAATAAAGCATATTTATTGTTGTTAGCCAGTTGAAGGATTGTTTGCAATGCTAGTCATCTCTATATTGATGAGGACATTTATAGATGCTTGGCTAACTTATAACGTTGAAGTGAAGTCCAATCTCACATGCACACAAACCTTTGTTAGGGACCAGGGAGTGGTACAAACTGGAGTGAACGAAATTATCCTTAGATTTACCACTAAATCTCTTGGTTTAACACTTTTCTACGTTTTTATTCTGTATTAAGGCCTCTAATTCAGAAGTGGGATATGTCAAGAAAGTTTCCATAACTTTTATGGCGACAAAACATTGCCTTGTCGATTTTATATTTCTGAGCAGTTTTCTGTTTCGTTTTGGACCACTACACCAGGATTCACACGAGATCCTAAGTCGTTTTACTGCATGATAGAGATTGTGTATCATATGCAGCTGTAAACCTCATATGGACCTAAAATAATGTTACATAAAATAATCCTCAAGATAAACTGCAGTACACATTATCCCGCGAACACAAGATATTCTGACATATTACTACTGTATTTGTAAAAGCAGCCCTTAGTGCGGTACGTATGATATAGTGAGGAGTGTTAAAAATTACAATGAAATACACATCACATCTACAAATTTAGTAACTTTGTATATGACACAAAAATTCCCCATTTTTATTGATTAGTTACTTTTTTGACATTTCACAGAGGTATGTATGTCGAAGTAAGTAAATCTAAATTCGATATCAGTTTTAATTGATTTTATTGTGATTAAGCAAGTGATGATGGTTTAAAGATGTGTCGAAAAGATATTTTAAAATTATTACGATTTAATTTTGTGTAGATATAGATCCAGAAAAATTGTAAAACATAGTAAAGACAAAAAAAGAAGGTAAAAAGTATTGTTTACTAAAAATAAATGGTTGGTTCGCACAAAAATTGGTTTAAGCACACTAAAATTGTTAAAAAACAAAGAAACAGGCAATTCTATTTCTACATGTTATGAGACATAAAACTTACTTTCTCCAACTGGGAACACTGTCGGTTACATGACAACACAAAAATAATATTAATTATATCAAAAAATTTAAGTTAAACACTAAAAAGTACAGAATATGACAGACGAGTCGATATCGATAATTCATAGATGAGTATTACAGGGTGTCACTATATTCGACAGACAATGCTCTACTTCTGAGAGCTCTCCTCGTAAATTGATAAATTTTTATATAGGAACATGAATCGTTAAAGGGCTTAGTTAACGAGATACAAGGTGTTAAAAGTTTCAAATCAAAAATTGTTATAAATCAAAAACGTCTTTAAATATTTTTTCAAATTTGATCTACCAAGATCTTGTCAATTACACGAATTATTAAACATTTAACACGTAAGTACATGCAGACCTTTGGAAGTAAATTTCTACAACACCGTTCATTTTAACAGCATAAAAGGTTATTACTTTTTTTAGCTAAAAACAGAGAATTAAAAAAGAAATAAAAAAATATTTCTAATAGTGCACCACTGGTTAAATTTATCAAATGTTAGTTCCTGTCAAAATAATGCACTAGTTCAGTGTGATGTCATTTTGGTTCCACTGACATTTAATTCTAACCAAACTTTTAACAAAAACATCAATAAATTTGACATATACGTTTTTACTGTTTTTATTTTATTTCAAATTGTTTACAGGTCATAAAAAATAGTTTAAAGGTATGTAATTGGTAACTAAACGATTGTATATTTGATACATGCTATCTACTTACTTTAGGAATATATTTAAAAAAGTGAAAAAAAAAACGATATAATTTAGGTAAACAAAACGAACAAAACGCACTCAAAAAAATCTACTGTCACTTTAATTGTCAGTGGAACCATAATTACATCATCACTGAACTAGCTCATTACTTCATTAAAGAGCACATTAGTCACTGTCAAATTTCAAACGATTCCAAAGAGCTTTAGCCAATTACATAATTGTTTTAACTATGGGCTCAGCTAGGAATTAAACACATAAATATAAGCGTTTCCCGCAAAAATAGGCAGTAGATCTTTAACTTTTCTCGTGAATAGTGCTCTCGCGAATAAAGTGAAAATTCGATTTCTGTATCGGTTCAGTGTATCATTAGCAAAAAAGGATTACTTCAAGTTTTGAATAAGCACCACGACTGCCTGAGTCGATAAACATAGGGGCTTACTAAGGAAAGAGGAAGTGGTTGAGAAATAAGCCGGTGTTCGCGCATTCTCCACATTGCTTCCTTGCGATCCTCCTTCTTAGAGCTCCTCCGTGGGATTATTACACTGGGTGGGTCCGTTCTGATTACGTGGGAGACGAGGGGTACATCGTTTCCCATTTAAAAGTGATAGGGCTGTCTCCACTTAATTTCCCTCCATTTTTACTCCCACTTGCCGGCTTTTTTAGGCGCGGAACCTGTAACGGATTTTCTTCTCTTCACAGGTCGGACTGACAGGTGTCAAAGGTCCCAGCCATATTTTTTTAGTGTCACTGTCAATAATACTGTTGGTTGGTAAGGACCTCCGGCTTTGTTTGTTTACATTTTGAGCTTTTAACTTTTTCTGGCGAACGACCTTGGCCTTGTTTGTTTGTTTTATTTTACAGCCATTCGAAGACGCCTGGTTTATAGTAACGGGGCTCATTTCTTTTTTATTTAAGTAATTATAAATGTCCTATCCTAGTGATTGTCGGTTACTTGCTAATTGACATTCACATCCTCCTGTCAGACCCGCTTGATCCCTCGGTCAAGCGGCTTTTATTATTACTTATTATTATAATTTTTTTTTATAAATTTACTGGTTTAGAATCTTAACGTCACTTAGTTTAACTTAATATATTTTAAATCATTTCAATTCAATTTAATTTATTACAAAAATGCACCACAAAAATTCAAATAATTTCACTGCTGACTTCAGAAGGACATTACCTTCAGGGCACGGTACACAGGGAGAGTTCTATGGCTTTTCCCCGGTTACTTCCGCCCCAGAGCAAAATGCCACCTTGTGGAGACAGCCAAACTCGGCTATAATTTAAATGTTCAGGACTTTTATAACTTTCAAATTAATGACACTACCCGACGGTTTGCCAAATACCCGCCGTCTGGGCCCAAACCTACCCTGAGAGTACCCAATTCGTTTGAATTGGGATTCAAATCACTATCTACCCCCATCGAGCGTCGGCCTACACACGGCAAATGTAGGTCGTCAAGGTGAAGTTTCCCTGGTGAAGTGTTTCACAGTGTTGGTGATTTCGAGGAGTTAGCTACGCTCTCCACCAGTACGGCCATATCTCCCTCACGACCCCTTCTTAGCAAAAGAGTGGTGTCAGGGCAAAACGACCTTCACCCGAGCGAGACCCGACCACATCACCAAATTTGAAAAAGTATTTAACAGCGTTTTTGATTTGTGGCAAATTTTGATTTCAAAATTTCAACACCCTGTATCTCGATAACTAAGCCCTTTAAGAATTCATATTCCTATATCAAAATTCATCAATTACCGAGAGCTCCCTGGGGTAGAGCATTATCGATCGAATATAGTGAATAGTGACATCCTGTAGATGAGATCAAATTGCACTTGTTATCTTCTTGGAGCCTCTAAATGTGAGTCGTAAAAATCATAATTTGTTTAAACGTTTTGGAGAACAATTTGTATCAAAACTAAAATCTGGTAGTTCTTAAGACAGATAAGCTACATAAAAATGAAGCTATACTAAAGACGCATTCATCTGTTTTAGATAATACCAAAATTTTGTTGTGATTCAAATTGTACTACTACAAATAATTTTGAACCTTCACATTTACAGAGCCTTAACTTAGATAACCAGGTCCCTAGGAAAAAAATTGATACTTATTTGATATAAACTTCTCACTCAGGAATTGCCGAGTTCGACTGTTGGGACATCCTGTACTATTTAATTTTCAGAAAATCAAATTATTAAATAATATTTAAAACTTCTTTGAATATCTTCTCATATTATTTAATCGAATTTTATCTCATGTATTAATTGCAAATAATCTTATATTCAATATGTTTAATCTTTAGTCAATAATTAGTCATTCTACAGATTAGTATTAATTTTATACTAAGATTATTCTCATTTTTTTAGTTTAAACTGAAGTTAGTTTTTTAGTTTAACTCCCAATATTGTTACAATAAATGCACTTGTTTGTATTTATTCTATATACAATTTTACAGAAGATCAAAATTTGATTCTTTTTATATCAATGTGTCAACAATATTACAGATAGAATTGTAGATACAACTGTTTTCTATTTATATAACAATTTATAATAATTAAAATTAATTAGTTTTGATTTGGCACTACTTTTAACTATTGGAATATTAACTAAATAAACTTTTAGCTCTAACAAAAGCTATACCTTTATTTTACTCCCTTGTACCAAATGTTCTGAAAAAGAGCTAACATCACATTCAAAAAAGTCCTACACCTAGACATATTACACTCCTATCTACATAATATATACAATAAATTTTATACAATATACAAAGTGTGCATTTGAGGTTACACCAATACCACCTAATTATCAAGTGTCTCACAAAGTTTAAGAAAATACCGATTTCAAAAACCACGGTCCAAAAAATAAATGTATAAGAAAACTAAAAACATATATAAATTTCTTACACAGATAATCGTCACCTAAAAACATGATAAGATGTTCCTATGAACAGACTTTGTAACGGGACGTAACTAATTTAATTATAAAAAGTACTATCAGCCATAGGTGGAGCTACAAATTACTTCAACCTGAATATAAGGGGAACTAAGTTCATAGGAACTATTTCCAACATTTTTAGGAAAGTTATCTCCACATACGAAGCCATATATGTTTTTAATTTTCCTTATATAGTCGAACATTGTTAAGACACTCAACAAATTCAAATAAATATAAAAAATTATACAAATTAGCTATGGGAGTGAAAATATAAATAAACCACGCAAGTTAATGTTGTTTGTGCTCATTCAGTGCATATAGTAGTGGTACGCGATTTAAAAACAATCGTGCACCACCGAAAAAGTACCTTTCTCTGCACAGGCCAGATCCCTTGATTTTGACACGACCCAATCGGCGCAAATGGTGCTCTAGACGCGCCCAGTCTTCATTGCTTAAGCTTAAATACATACATACTATCTACTTAGGGCATAGCCAGGGGTTGGTAACGTTAAGCATGGGGGGCATCGCAACATAAATTGGGTTGGGAATAACCAAATAAAAATTAATAACGATCGCAATGTTTTAAAATCCAAAAAACTGGGTTCATTTTTCTCCTACAAAAATCTTTTACAAATATATATTACCTTACAAGTATCAATAATTGTCTGGCAGTCAAAGCATTAAATTTTATATTAAAAAATAGGTTTAAACAAAACAATAAATGAAGAAAATTTCAAGAAGTCACTAAATAATTCAAAGAATTAATAATAAATTTAGAAAGAACTGACATTTATAAACTTCTTGACTAAATCAATAAAAAGATTAAGCAAAAAAGATTAAGCAAAAACGATAAAAGTAAACACAAAAAAAGTTAAAAGGAAAAAAAAATATGAAAAAAAAAATATATTTTCCTAAATGTTCACTTTATACTCGGTGGGCCACCGATAACGCCTCGGTCTGTAGAGGCAACACTATTTGATTGTTCAAAATCTGTTTTCACAGCGAGATGTACAGTGTGACAATTTAAAAATTTACAATGGGCTACTACATCTCACAAACAAAAGATGATATGAAAAAATACTTAAAACCGTCCGAGCAGTAAACATAAGTGTAGAAGATGTGAATATAAGAGGCTTGGTTGCGAGGGGATATCCGCAGGGAGAGGTGCTACCACCTCTACTGTGGAATATGGTCCTCGACACCCTCCGCAGCCGCTTCAATAATGACAGTCACTACATATTCAGATGACCTGGTCATTTTGCAAACATGGAATTTTGAGAACATACTCTGCGAACGAATGCAAGCAGCTCTAAAAATTATCGAACAGTGGTGCAAGGACCATTCACTGTCTATCAATCCTAAGAAGACAGAAATGGTCCTTTTTACAAGAAAAAGGATGAAAATGGAATTAAAACCTCCACAACTCCTAAACACAAAACTAAAATTTGCAACAGAGGTGAAGTACCTAGGTCTCACCTTTGACAGCAAGTTAACATGGAACTCGCATTTAGAAAATAGAGTTAAAAGAGCATACATTGTTTATGAACAATACCGCCGAACCATGGGGCGGACCTGGGGTTTCTCCCCCAGAGTCTTATGGACTTACACGGTTATCATAAGACCTATGCTAACATACGGTGCAGTTGTCTGGATACCGAAAACCCAAAAATTAACAGCTATCCGTAAACAAATTCAAAGAACAGCATGTCTCAACATAACAAGAGCCATAAAAACAACACCGACCAGGACCATGGAAGTCATTCTTTGTCTCACTCCCCTTGATATTTACATCAAGGAGGTTGCTCTGACGATAATAACACGCCTCCGTACAATTGGAATAAAACCTGATGTAGGATCTGGTGAGGCGAGACGTCGCTTTTGGCAGGAGGCGCTCGATACGCTCCCCCTGCTTCAAGCTAACATGGACTCCATCTCACCGAGATATATCTTCCATAAGCCATATAAAGTTATAATAGAACAAATAGAAGAGCCAAAAGTGGCAGGTACGATTCATATCTACACCGACGGTTCTAAAACAAAACAAGGCCCAGGAGGTGGAATATACTCCAAATTCTTAAACCTAAACAAAAAATCTGATGTGTCCAACACATGACTTTCCTATCTAGTTATTACGTAAAAACAAAAAAAATCAGAATTTTGCCCATTTTGTCAAATTTCTCGAATACGGACCATTTCAGGAAATTTTGACATAAAACAAAAATTATAGAAAATAATATTAGAAGTAACTGTTAATTGAACAATTTTCTTCTCCAAACATAAATAACAGATATATTCCATAAAATATAAAAACGGTCTCCCATAAAGTACCCCCCCAGATGTTCCGACTTTGTCCAAAATCTAATCATTGCACGTCAGGCCGAAATAAACCTTAAGTTTAAAATTTAATGTTTTTTTCTATATCCGTTTTTGAGTTTTCTTCAAAATTCGAAATTTACACATTTTCTCAAATATCTCGAATACGGTCCATTTTAGAGAAATTATGTATAGAATAAAAATTATAGAGAATTATATTACAAACAACTTTTATTTGAACAATTTTTATAAAAAATTATTTTTTTTACATTTTGTCAAATTTCTCGAATACGGACCATTTTAGGAAAATTTTGCATATAACAAAAATTATAGATAATTATATTAGAAGTAACTTTTATTTGAAGAATTTTCTTCTCCAAACGTAAATAACAGATATATTCCATAAAATATAAAAATGACCACCTATAAAGTACCCCCCCAGATGTTCCGACTCTGCCCAAAATCTAATCAGCTCATTGGACGCTGAAACAAAGCTTAAGTTTAAAATTTGGTGTTTTTCTGTGTATCGGTTCATGAGTTATGCGTTATACAGACACACACACACACACACACACACACACACACACACACACACACACACACACACACACACACACAGACACACAGACACACAGACACACACACAGACATCATCGCGAAAATAGTCAAAACGGATTCAGGGGACCTCAAAACGTAAAAATCCGTCGAAAACTCGAGGTCGAAAAAAATCATGATTCCTATACTTTCCTTATATCTGTATACAGATAGGAAAGTAAAAATGGGCTGTGAGCAATAGTGCCAGTGTAGTTCAAACAGAGCTAACGGGGACTCTCATAGCAGCAAAAGAAATAACCAGAAACAATATCACTGGAAGGAACATGCTCATCTATACAGATAGCAGACAAGCACTACTCACCCTGAACAGACCACGAATTTACTCAGGGTTAGTACTAGAATGTCACGAAGCTTTGGCCAACGTATCCATCAACAATGTGGTCACCTTAAGATGGATCAAAGGTCACGCCACATCGAAAGGTAACCGTCTTACTGATTCACTAGCCAAGAAAGCAGCCAACCAAATACTTTTTGGACCTGGCCCTTCTATTGGCCTGACAAAATCGGTAGTGACAGACCTAATCAAAGAACATTCTCTTGTGAAATTCAAGGAAAGATGGGATGAAACAAGAAACAGCAGAGTTGCCAGGGAGCTCTTAAGTTATCCTGACAACACTGCAGCAAACAAATACTTGACTATGACTAGACAAAATCTGCGCCTAGTCACAGGCATTCTGACTGGTCATTGCCAAGTACGAAAGCATCTCCATATCATGGGGCTGTCAGAATCTGCACTCTGCAGAGGGTGCGAACAAGAAGATGAGACCATCGAGCATATCCTTTACGATTGCCTGACGCTCTCATTTATTAGAAGATTTGTGTTCGGCGAGTATCGGCTAACACCGGCCGATATAAGAGAAGCACCTCTTGGCGACGTTGTCAACTACATTAAATCTGTAGGCTGGCTCACGAGCTAGGAGGTGCCTTTCATCTCAGGAGGATGCACAATGGGCCTAATGAGGCTTAAGTGCAGTGAGGAATAAAAATAACATAAAAGAGAACTCACAAATTTGTAGTTCAGCAAGAACTTCATTAAATTTTCCTTTTAAGGCAAGGTTTCACAATTATTGATTCACCTTGTACAATTATTTATACCACTGGATAGCAAAATGGCCTGTTTAATTCCATACTATTTGATATTGCTATAATGGGAAAAACAAGGGCAATTCAAATATAAAATAAAATACAGGTTATCCCATTAAAAAAAATCTTTGTTATGTATCAATTTCTTGGAGAACCCTGCATAATTGAAATTATTATTACCCCTTTCTGAAATAAATCTCACCGTGATAACAGATTTAAAAAAATCAAATACAGACTAAGGCGTTACCTGTGGCCCACTCTATATATTATTTCACCTACACTGCCAGTATGGTTTTATACTGAATATTTTAAACATTACACATAAGCATCCTTGATGTTTCGCTGATTATTGTGATTATATATATGTTTATTGTCCAATTGAATTGTAACTTTTGTCAGTCATTATTATTTCTTTTAGAAAAATAAACTTTATTGTTAAAACATCTCTTATATCTTAACAAAAATTTCTTTCAAATATATTTTACAAATATCTCATACAAAAATTTCTTGAAAGATATCTTACAAATTATAAACAATTTAGTACAAATCTAGATAAATAACCCTCTTAAGCGTTTTGACAGGACTGTCATTGGGTATTTACCGGGGGAAGAGATAATTAATTTGCCAAAGAAATTGTAAGGTAATTCTATTTATCAAAGCTTTTAAGGTTTTAAGACGCACAACAGTTTTTTAAATTATATTCTTCGTGTAACTAATAACTTAAATTATGTACTTTACAAATTGTCGGTTGAGATGAATACTATCCTTTTCTATTAGTTTTGAGTATTACGCACTTAAAAGTTTTATTGCCTTATAACGAAGACAATTCTAGGCAATTTTTGTTCTTAGAACATTGCACAAGCTGGAATTAAATGGGATATTATGTCAATTACTTATTTAAAAAAAAAAATGGACATAGGATAGCTTTCTTCTCATTGGACGAAATTAAGATTAAATTTTATTAAATTTTCTATTTAATATTAAAAATAATCCAGTTTAATATTAAAAACAACCCATTACAATATAATAATTATTTCCATTTTTTATTGTTTAGTTAAGACAACCAACATGTAAAGCATTAAACACAATTCACACTGTGGGTATGTAGGTTAAAGAAAGCTTTTAAATAAATTTAACTTTATTTATCTCCTGGTATTACTGGTATTTTCAAATTCATGTTTTATACTTTTTTATCAATTATCTAATGTATAAACAAAATAAACATAATTTAATTATAGGTACCAAAAAAGTCTTCTAAGTATTTACCTATGCTTTTTAAGAGTTTAAAATATTATACACTCTAAATTTTCAAAACAAATAAACGTAAATACGACAACTTACCCAACAGTGATTGGTTGACGATTAATATCCACATTATCTGGTGCTGAATAGGTGTTAGTAGCATAATATTCTCTTACATGTTGAGGGGTTATAATCAAATCGTTACTTAAGTGGGATGGTGCTAAAAAAATTCAACAATATAATGTAACTTTTTTTCATATTATTTAACAATTTAAATAACGAACTGGCATGATAGGCGAAACATTGATGGAACAATATAACTAATATAAAATTCGGTGATCTAATTTTTTTTTTAAACGACAATTTATAATTTATTATAGGCAACAGATAGTGTAAGTCCATCCATCATCTCTTCCAAAACAGAACTACAAGGATTTTTAAAAAACTATAGCGCGTAGGCGGGTGGCTAAGTATTTATTAAAAATTCAAGGTTGCTTTTAATCTAATTATTGAAAATGTGCGATAAAATTTATATATATTGATTGCACTTTTGAAAAACATGAGTTAATATTAAAATTAAAATATTTAGAATATTTATATCGAACGATTATGTATATTTTAAAATATTACTGAATAATTACGAGTACCTATAATAGGAAGTTGTTAAAAAATGTTAACACGAAATCATAACATCAAAGTCGGTCTTAGATCTAGGGAACACTGAGGTCAATTTTTAATAAGTTTCTAGGTCATTTCTAACAAAATAATCTTTAAACCTATCAAAATTGTATTTTGATTACATTCAAAACAAAAATATTGTGTACGTGTGGGTTTAGATGACTTAATGCATTTATAATACACCTACGTAGATATTATCTAAATGTGATTATTTTAAATTTTAATATACATACTAAATAGATTTAATAATTGTAAAAGAACCAGAAAAAAAACTAATTTTAGTAATTCTTTTCAACTAAATGTTTATCTCGCTTAATCATGTGTTTAAAGTTTTGACAGCACATTAACGTCAAAGTTATTAGATAAACGTTTAAAACTCACCTATAGAATTTCGATTATATTCACTTTTTTCGTCGTTGGTGACGTCCATTCTCATGGAATCGTCGCCGAAGCTCTTCATATCATCGACCGTCATGTATTTGTACTGTTGTTGGTCTAACAAGGGGTCATCACCTAGATTAACAAAAAAAATGAACCATTCAACACAATACCTTTCAAATCTGAAAGATAATATACTCCCATTGAGATACGATTATATCGATGGTATTGAGATAAAAGTATTAATAAACTGATAAAGTTGTTTCAATAATTTTAGTATTGGCGGTAGAATAAATAGGATGCATAGATGTCTTCAAAAAAATTAAAATAAATAAATAAAAAAATAAATGCCTAAAAATACCTTTATATTGTATAGTAATCTGAAGTATAGTAATATTGTACCATTCTATCTAGCCGTAATTTGTAACGTTTTCTTAAAAAATAAATATTTGTTCTTTACAAATTTCTTTAATAATGATCTCTTATTCTTATTGGAGAAACAATAGCTATTTATGCAACCAGTTACGAAATGTCTTATTTTATGTAAAGAGTTACACCTATGCAACTAATATTATTTTATTGTATTGTTAGTTGCATTTTATTAAAAAATTGAATCATATTAATTTATTCTGAACGACTTGTTGTCAAAGTTATTTAGTTTTCAAGAAAGTGGGTTATTTTGTCGTATATTTTGATTATTTTGTGCAGCTTTAGAATGGAAAATAAGTACCAAAACAGAATTATTACTAGGTTGTAAGTTCACTAACAAAATCATTTTTATATAGCCTTTGATATAAACTTTCAATAACAATGTATAATATTGATTGTAAAACCAAAAATCGGTAAAGTATTTTACCCATACCTTCCCTCGATACAGAAATTTTAAAAACAGGGAACGGTTAAACTTATATTTGCAATAATTTAAAATTAAAACCACCAAACCAAAAACCCTTTATTACATTTCTCTCTCCATCGTCCTTCCTCTTGATCCCACCCGAAATATCACTTCGCGTCCGCTCGGTATTCTTCGTCAAGTTCACCATTATTGAACAATAACGAATGGCTGCTTTTAAAATGGTCCAATTACATAAACCAAAAGGACGATTTTTATTATTTCCATTTAAGAGGGACCTTTTTTGATTAAATGCGATTCCTTTCAACGCCACTTGAAATTTTTAAAAACTTATTTAGAATCTGTTATCTTTGCCTTCTAAAATTGTCACTTACCAATTTTAGTAGAAATCTGCCGACTTTTAAAAATAATTTTAAAAAATAACTACTCATCCTGTATATAACTGATCGGAATTATAGCTGGTGTTTTAAGTCAGAAAAGAACCTCATCTGCATACAAAATTTGATAAAGCCGTTTTTGAGCTATTGTGCCAACAGACAGACCGACAGAACGGGAAAACATGTTTTTCATAATCTAGGGACCCTAAAGCGTGAAAATCTGAAATAATCTCGGAAAGTTAATTTTTCACGATTACAATACTTCCCTTTTATCGAGGGAAGTAAAAAGGAACTTTTTATTTGTTTTCTTTTCACAACTGTTGCATAATGTTCAACTTTATGCAAATGGTTGCATAAAGTAGATAATTTTGGCGCTTGTTGCGATTACAAAAAATGTCACTTTATATGTCAAAATTAGAAAAAATATGTATGTACGCAAAACTGCCTGCATTTAATGCTTATCCAATAAAGAGTCTACAATTGGAACAATATAAACTAGTGTCTATGGGGGTTATAATTGACAACCTGTGTTATTTTTAACAGGTCTGTTATTTTATAAACACTCAGAAATAACAACCTGTTCACAAATAACATGTCTGTTAAAAATAACATAACCCCGCTATTTTTTGTAGCAGAATATAATTCCAATGACATTACTCTTTCGTCATAGTACTACCATTTACAGGATATTAGTATATTCGACCGACAACGCTTTAGCCCAGAGAGCTTGCGTTAATTGATGAATTTTGATATAGGAACATAAACCCTTAAAGGACCTAGATACAGGGTGTTAAAAGTTTTAACCCTCTATTGCATTTTGTGACCAAAGGGGACACAACCTTTAAAAATTACTAACGATTCTGAAATGCCTGTTCACTACATTCATGATTGCCCCTTCTGGGAACACATCAAAATGAACTGACAACGGCGCGCTTCTCCTCCGTGGAAGGAATTTCGCGCGCTTTGTGGCATTTGTTGACACTTGTTGATGTGAGGTTATATTGTGCATGCTTTGATATTTTTATTTGTTATTGGCAGATAAAGGTAAGATTTCAACTAATAAATATGTAGATTAGGTTCATATATCTATGTAATGTATGTTTAAAAATAAAAGAGCTACTTTAGCATGAAATTACGTGAAATATATTCCCATAATTGTATGTGGCCGCTCGGGAACAATATGCATTGAAAACTAAAATGGATGAAAGTATTTATTGTTGGTAAATAAAACGGTTTTCTTTCAGAATATGGATCCGAAAATTTTTTCAATAAACCCGAAATAATTTTATGGACGTAGTAAAACTACAGACAACTTTCGAGTCAGAGAAATACCTGCTGATAGTGAGCTGTCAGATGGAGATACAAACGCGGAGGAATTATTGATACAGGGATCCTCCAATAATTTAGGTTGTGAAAATGATGAGTCCGCTGAAGAGGATGATAACTCTTCTGAAGAAGACGATAAGTCTTCTATAGATGGCAAGTCTTCAGAAGAAGATGGCAAGTCTTCAGAAGAAGATGACAAGTCTTCTGAGGAAGACGATAAGTCTTCAGAAGAAGACGATAAGTCTTCAGAAGAAGACTAAAAGTCTTCAGAAGAAGATGGGAATCCTTCGAAAAATTTAAAAACACAAGCACCTCGAATGACCCCAGGAACTCGAAGAACCCAAGAACCTCGAATCCGAGCACCCCGAACCCAAACACCCAATAAAAGATTCCAAGCACCTCGAAGAACCCAAGCACCTCAAAATAACAAAGCACTTCCTAAAAGACAACCGGCAGCTACTAAACCCAAGATCAATTGGAAAAATCAATAACTGAAAGAATTGAGGTCAATTCTGAATTTCTAGGAAGGGAGTTACTTCCTGAAGAAATTTTGAAATTGAATACTCCATACAAGGTGTTTTCTTACTTTTTGTCAGAAGAATTTTTGACTGAAGTCATTCACCAGACGTGCATACATAGTGTTCAGATACGGCCCAATAGACCAATATATATATATATATAAGTCTTGAGAAAATTCAAAGAATTATAGGAGTAATTCTATGGATGTCAATAATTAGACAACCCACTACTAGACGCTTTTGGTCTCCTCAAACCAGGATTTCACAAATTGCCGATGTCATGTCAGTGAATCGTTTCGAATTGATCAAAAATATCTTACACTTTAGCGATAATACAGAAAATAAAAGTAACTTGGATAAAATTATGCCAGTAATAGAAACTATTAGGAAAGCTTGCTTGGCTTTACCTTTCGAAGAACACCTGTCATGTGATGAACAAATAATTTCATTCAAGGGTAGAATAAACATAAAAACTTATAACCCTAAGAGGTTCTTAGTGGAATTTCTGGCATGTCTTATAACTTCGAGTTATTCTCGGGAAAACAAGGTTATACAATGGACAAAAATGAACCTGATCTGGGTGCTTCAAGTAATGTGGTTCTTCGTCTGAATAGACTCATTTCACCTGATATACACCATAAACTTTTTTATGATAATTACTTTTCTTCCTTGGTACTTATGTCACACCTGGCAAAACGCAAAATTCATTCGGTTGCTACCGTTTGTGTGAATAGATTACCAAATTTCCAGGGTCTATCAGAAAAAGTAATGGAGCATAAAGGAAAAGGAACAATAAATTTGCTGGTGTCGATGTCCATAGTGTGCAATGGTATGACAACAAAATTGTTACACTCATTTCTGACTACTCTGGAACTTATCAGGTCACAACAGTAAAGAGATTTTTCAAATCTGAAAACACCAAGAAGGAGATAGAATGCCCTGATATAGTCAAACAATATAAACGCCATATGGGTGGCGTTGACAAGACTCACAAATAGGACCTTAACCCAATAAAATTGAAAAGCCGAAAATGGTATTATAGGATATTTTATCATATGAAAAATGTGATTATCAATTCTTGGCTCTTACATAGAAGAATAAACCGACAATTTGGAGTGAAGAATAAAGTAATACCTCTCCTATCATTCAAGACCATGTTAGCTAAAGAATTATGTAACAAAGGGCTCACAACATCTCAGAAGCGAGGTCGCCCAAGCTCGTCAACTCCTGAACCATCAGTGAGGAGAAGATGTATAGAACCTAGACCAAATCCTTTTGTACAGACTGATAGTATAGCTCATTGGCCAGCATGGACAGTTGAAAGGGAAAGGTGTCAACTACTTGGATGCAAAGGAAAATCTCGTGTGAAATGCCAAAAGTGCTAAGTTCATTTATGCTTTAATAAAAAAAAAATTGTTTCGTGCGGTTTCATGAATGAATAATTTTTTTTGTTACGCAAAATTTTTTCAATAAACGTTCAATACCAATGGCTTTTTTATCTTTGAATGCATAATGTACCCAAAAGGGAATAGAAAAAAAATGGGGGAAGTGGGGGGTGGGTTTCCAAAAAAAAAGTGTTAATTATGTTATTTTCTTATTTTCTACATTAAGAAGATTAAATTTTAATTTTTTGAAGCAGTTTTGAAAACTATAATTAATTCATGCAATAGAGGGTTAAATTAAAATTAAAAATTTGTTTTAATTCAAAATTTGCCTTAAATCAAAAAAGTCGTTAAATATTTTTTTCAAATTTGATCTACCAAGATCTTCTCAAATACACGATCAGTTTAGCTCCATAAAAGGTTTTTACTTTTTTGACTAAAAACGAACAGAGAATTAAAAAAAAAATAAATAAAAAATAGGTAGAAAAATATTCACTAAACTTTTCAAAAGTTAGCTCATGTCAAAATATTACTTTCTTAAAGAGCATACTGATTTTTGTTAGAAAGGGGATACTCTATCATTAAATATAGACTCAAAACGTCAACGGTGGTGCAGCAAAACAACAAGGAGATCTTGTAAAAAAACTAGCCAATCGACCTTTCTTAGCTTGAAGAACCCTCATATCGCCATTACAAGACTTTAAATACTTAAGCCATCTATTCACTAAATTAAAGAAATGTATACTACTGTTAAATTTTCGGGCTTATCAGTAATCAGGTTACAATTGATGCACACGTATTTAGCTTATTTGGTGTCAGCAACTCTCAAAACCCGACTGTATATAATATAATAAATTTAGTAACCTAATCGTAAGCTCTACATAAGAAATCTCTAATTTTAGGTATTATTCATACATTCGAGTAATTTTTGTAAATATATTCCTAAAGTAACTAGATAACATGCATCGAGTAGGTATATAAATTGTTAATGTCAATTTCAATCACAGAATGGTTTGTTTTGTTAAAAGTCAAATGTCATTGAAACACAAATTACGTCACACTAATATAGAGAATAATACTTTATACTGTAGATTACAGTGCAGCGTAGTATACTTAAAATGAAATATAAATAAAAAATTTAACGTGACAGAAGATAATTTAACAATCATGAATAAAATTCTAATCACTATTTAAAACCTCTACCGCCAATACTATTTTATTAATTGATATCATTCTAATATTAAAAATATATTTCGTAATATCTTACATCAATACACTGAGTGACTTTAAACTAAAATAAAATAATACGATGTGCTTGGGAATACCTTAGTCATAAAATAAATCGACTAAATGAAAAAAGTTACGTGAAAAGTGTTTTTAAATATTGAAAATTTTGAAACGGTAAGAGTTCAAATTGACTTAAAATATTTATTTCGTTAATGTTAAATTTTTTAAAAAATCTTACCGTTTACAACATTCATATATTAGTTACACTATAAACAAATGAAAAAATATGTATTACATTTTCCTCTAATTTGTCACAAACCAAATATCAAGCTATGTTTCTCTTCTTTGACCGTGACAAACTGAAAATAGATTTTTAATTATTGATATATTTTCAAAACATGCATGTTAATGGGCTCCTAATTTACATTTATGATATTATAAATGAGGTAAATGCGTAACACATATAGATTAAACCAAATTTCTTACGTTAACATTACTGTGTAGGGGAATTAAGCAATTAGAGTGTCTAAATGAGTTCATTTTTGATAAATTTTGTTTGTATGTTTTTTAAATACCATAGCAAAAGTATTTACATAAAATAATCATCATAGTAAAGAATAACAAAAATTAAAAGAAATAAAAGTTTGAACGTAGCACCTGTTTATTATTTCAGTTAAATTAAATTTAAATGTTCTAAAAATTACATAAGCTACACAAAGCTTCTACAAACACCGATTATGTTAACATACATATATTACACACCTTACACCAAAGGACTAATAGATATACAATCATCATGATTTTTTTAGTTCTAAATAACGTACAACAAATAACATAAAATTTATTTAAAAGAAAACCAATTTTACTTCTGTAATTATGGGCATCCGAAAGAACATGACAGATGCAGTAATTCAATAGTGGTAAAGATGCAGATTTCAAGAAAGAGTATTCATAATTTATAATTTCAAAATCTTATCCCAGAACGATGCATTAGTGAACAACTCGGTTGAATTTCAAGTGAATTAATTTTTATTATCGTATCCTCACAAAGCTGACATATTTTTTACCTACTTAATTTTTGATTCAAGTAAAGCTATTTATTTATGAAAATATTTCCACGAATTTGTAAATTTCCAAACCGTTCAATATTTCACTATTACATCATTATAATTATAAGTAGGTACTAGGTACGAGTTTTAAATTATTGTTCTTGAGAAGATTGTACGAAAAGGTTGCTAATTAACATTTACACTTTTATTTTCACTGGCATGCACTGGATGAACTCACTGCGTTAACTTTAATATAGGGTGAATCCAAAGTCAATAATTTTTTTAACTCTATATAGAAATCGCTAAAATAGACAACTTTTAAAAAACTCAAAAATACAGAACTAAAAAATATAAATCCGTTCCTGAACTTGTGTATGAAAAGTAAGTATATTTATATTTTATCTCTTTTTCAGTTTTTCTTATGAATCACAATTCAATTCCGTACCGTTTATTGTAATTCAGTAAAGTGTGATTTCTGTAGCGTGTTTATCTGAATTTAAATTGTTCAGTATAGTAAATTGAAAATGAACTGCGTTTAGAACAATACATTTTAAATGATATCGAGGAAGATCCTACAAGTACGCGGTTGATTACAGATCTGGTGGAAGCAAGTCAAAGAAAAGTGTAGACAACATTTCTGGAAAATCAATCGTATCAAGTTCAATGTGTTCAAGCAATATAACTTGAAGATTTCCCTCGCAGAGTTCAGTTTTGGGAATAGTTCTTATTAACGGCATGAAAATTCCACACATTATTTAAGTTAGACAGTGTATTGGATAAATTTTGGAATAAATTAATGTAAGTTTGCTAATTTTGAGTATTTATCAAAAATTTATTTGAAACAGTTGTTTATTTTAATACGACTTTTATACATGGTTAAAAAAGTATCAATTTAGGATTCACCCTGTATAAACTATTTTTTAAAATTATGTTAACCCTTTCAGTGGAACAAAGAACAGCAAGAAAATCGTATTGAAAGAGAGTACTTAGCATACACCTAATTAACAAAACGTGGCAAAAGAAAAAAATGTTATCCACACTACATTTATTTCATGAACCTCATTTTAAAAGTATATTGACCGGCACTCAAGGGATAAATCCACTGAAAGGGTAATATGCAATTTATAATGTGATTTTCTCTCCTTGAAAGTATTGCTCTAACCATTGATGGATAATGGGTTCCTCAGGAGCCAGATTATTTAATGTTGTTTATTCCACGTTAACATCAAATTATCGAAGCGTGGTGGACAGAAAGATTCCAAACATGCAGTAGAAATTAATTGTTATTTTCTTAAACAGTTTTACACCAATATCAAATTATAAACGCTACACTATGTATGTGTCTTAGTGCTCGTCAGTGAAAAGTTGTAGCATTTCTAAAATAGTGTGAAGTTAATTAATGTAGTGATTTGTACATACTACATACCTTCTTTTATAACCTTCATTTTGTGGCAGTTTAAATGGAAAACAAAGATTAAGAATACCTCATATTGTAAGTAACTGGCAATAAAGGTTGAGCGCGCTAACGAACTGATCCATCAAGGCTTATGTCAAGTTAATTATCTAATCAAATGTATTACATTAGCCTTTTCTACAGTGGCGTTTTTATGACACCGTCATCGAGCGCTCCACTGCTGGTGCGTCTGCAGCAAAGCATTTCCATGTTCTAGAAGGTAAGAATGAACGAAAAAATTGTAATTGTAACTTGCTCAAATAACGCACCTATAAGTGTAATTAGCTCCCCTACCATTATAAAATTTACCAAAAGAATAAAACTTGTGACAAAATAAAAGTATGATGGGAGGTATATAGTGCGTACAAGTCACTAGACTTAGAAATATAAAATTAAAGACCACTACAGAGAGAACAGAAAAATGTACTTAATTTACAGTTTAATACTTTAACACTATTTTAGAAACACAATAAAAAATAAACCTTTTGATTAAAATTAGCTACTTTTAGAACCTAACAAAACTTCTCCAAGAACAACAAACGTAATATATCATGCGGAAAGTAACATCAAATTTCTATTAAATCGAAGTTGACATTAAATAGTACTTAGGGACTTACGTGTATAGGTCATATGTCCCTGGTAGAAGGGTAGATAGATGTGCTGAGCATGCGTCGGTCGGCCATAAGCAACTGGATGTTCGTCCACTCCGCCTGCATGCAATCAACCACCACCCTTAGCGGACAACACGCTTTTTTATGATTAACCCCCCAAAATTACACAAACCCTTGTGAAATTATATATTTTTTATATGATAGAAGGGCACGAGAATTTTATCAAAAAGAAGCTTTATTTAACCGCTGTCACCTGTCATCGGTCAAATTGTATTGACAGCTGACATTTACTTAATAAAAACATTTTACTTAGGTTATTTTTATTGGAAAGTATTAACGGTGACAGTAATCTAAATGATATTTTTGCTAAATCTCGATTTCTCTTATTTTGGAAAGAACTATTATTGTTATAATATATCAATATGTTACTAAACCAAACAAAATATAAAATATTTTTTATTTTAGATTAGTCGAAAAAACATTCTTATTTCATTCCAAAAGTGAAAATACCTATGTGAGCAATACTGTTAGGAAATACTGAAGAAGAAAAAGTTTTTGTAAATAGTTAGAAAATTGTTATTATATGATCTAGTAAAATGCAATTGGTAGTTTAATACTAAAAGAAAAACACTGTTTTCATTCGATTTACAAAAATAAAAATTATTAAATGAACATTTTTCGATTATCTGGAAGAAAATTTGATGTAAAACAAATTTCTTTCAGAATATTGTTTTAAAAGATTACCTAACTTTGTTATTATTTTTAAAAAGGACACAAACTGAATATCTCAGAGCTGTTCAGTTATCATTTACTTTTATTGTACTTTCTAAGACTTCTAGAACTTATTCTGCGAAAAATGAGACCTGAAAATTACATAAAGGCTATTCCATCAATTTGTTCGTTTTGGATTATCACTAGAAACTCTGAGCTGTACAACATATTTAAGTACTAAAATAAATTGCTCTAATATTTATAGACATTACGCCCCTTAAAATATATCCCATTAAGACGAAAAATACCGGGATGAACACGATCTAAGTTTGAAATAATTAATATTGTTTAATACAGACTTTGATTTCAAAGAGTTTGGTTCAGAATAAAGTACCGAAAATAGGGGGATTTATAGATCTTAACTAATTAATAAAAAAAGCTAAATATAATTTTCCTGTAATGTCACAGTTTTCATTTTACAGGGCGATAAAATGAATTTCATAAATACATCATTTTCTAAATATTTTTTCTTACGGTAAAGATTTTAAATAAAAAATATGTATATGTTAGTTATTCGTCATTATTAGTTAATACACTCATTTTCGATAACGAAAAATCAAGGGCCAAGAAAACAATCAACAAATAAGGGACTCTACGTTGATCCCCGTAGGGTATTACCATATTGCCAATACATCGATTTCTGTTCATCAAAAAACAATAAATAAAAAACGGGACGTCCCAACAAAAGCATGATTAAAAACAAGAAAATTTCCTTAATTAATATACTTCAAATATTTCGAGAAATTACTATTGTACTGTTCAGTACAGTGTACCCTTTAAGTGGTTAATTGGTGGAATAGCCTTTAGCTGAATTTCTAATTAAATTAGTTATCCAGTGAGTATATCACAAGGAAGGTAATTTCATTTAATTCTGAGGGGTAGTGTGTAGGAGCGAGAGGGTAACTGATACACATCTCAAAGGTACAACAAAAGATGTCCCTTCTCAAATAAAAGTGACATGTCTTGCTATTTTTTTATGACAGTTCTATATTCTGAAATAATCAGGGTGGGTACTTTTTAAAAAACACACCCCTTATATAGCTCGTTATCAGAGTACAAAATAAAACTATTGTTTGGAATTAAAAAATTTCGTAAAATGCTATTAGTAAGTATTTTTTCATTACATTTCAGCAAAATAAAAAAAAAAAACAAAAAAGCACATAATTGATAAAAGAAAAATGCAAAGAAAAATTCTGAATTAATAACAAATTTTGCCCAAAAAAGTAAATAATTATTAATTGATTAAAAATAAGTAGACACAATTAAAAAATTGATAACACCATTTTTTTTAAATAATGCTTAAATTTTAATACAAAACCCGAAGGCTGTTCTGTAAAATTTTAATATCACCATGGCTATGTACTAAAATCCGAACAAAAGCAAAAATATTATTCGCATTTGAAAGATTAAAGTTAAAGCTCATCTTTGCAAATAAATAGGAACTAACCCCAAGTCAATAGATTATACCCTATGGATCAAGTGGATAGAATAGCTCCTCACGTAAAATTACTATCGGGGTGGTAGAAGCCCACCAAATGGCCGCACTTCCCGTCACATAAAATCGCGCACTAAAAAAATGGCAGCATCTAGATAGCTCCTACATATCCCTGGAGGATGCACAACAGGCCTAAGTGATGTAGGGGGATCTACCACACAAAAATACCACATGCTACCTCTGTCAATATTACTTTAAATTTAAAACAAACAATTTAGGAACTCAAACAACTTCTATAACCAAATAACTCTAAATCTACAAAACATGGTTTTCACTTTCACCGACAACCTCTTCCACCCAACATTAGAGAAATTCAGCAGAACGAAATAATTAAAAACAAATTGTTTCTGTCTTTTGGAAAATAACGAACACATCACACCTACTATGGCAAATGAAGAATTATAAACAGCTTTAAAAATCTATGAATGTAAAATAACCTACTTCTTATAATTTCGCATGTTAAAAGAAAGATAGATTAAAATGTTTAAAATACGAAAAAATGCTTGAAGGAGAATCGAGTATTACGTATTTCCGAACTCTGGCCCATATAATGAGAAAGATTGTACAGGGTTATTTAATATAAATCACCCACCCTTTATCATCGTTATTATTGCATATGCAAGAATTGTATAAAATAAAAGTTGTGTGTCTATGAATGAAAATTTGTTGAAATGCTACAGTGGTCCACAGATTGCACGGGCTATAACATTTTTTTTAATGGGATATTATTAAGATTTATATTACCCTACAAAAGTTACGTTTCGCTAACGCAAGACGAAGTTACAACAGCACAAAAATTGTCGAAAACTAGCGCTAAACATTATAGTTTTTTGTAACTACAAATATTGCTAATTAGAGTTGGTACGTGATGCAAATGAGGGCAACACTTGATATAAATATTACAAAGATGGAACAATATACGGTGTTGCCAAGTATATGCACACAGAGGCATCTACTGTTCTAGTTGTCACGTAAATATTGTTAAGCGGCGAAGGGTTAAAATCGCTTAGTTTAGATTTTCGTAGACATTTTTTAGATACAATTGTGTGAGTTGTCGAAATAGTAGTTTTTGATATCTAGATTTAAATGGCATAGGTTGTCCAAAAATCGTCCGGGGAAAAGCGAGTTATTCTCAAAAAGGAAGTTTAATATATGTTTCTAAAGTAAAAATTATCCTTAGAGAAATATTAAAAAATCAATATTATCTCTGTATCCTGTTAGGCACAAAATCTCAAATTTATTTGGTCTTAAATGGCACAAAATTATATAAATACTCATTTCTCTAATGCGTCCAAAAAACTGCCTATTTTACCTTTTTTTATTTATATACGCCGATATCATAAAAACTGTGCAAAAATTCGTAGAAGTGTATTCCTGTTAATTACTAGTTGAAAACTTAAGGATTCTAACGATTGTCAAATCATAATTTTATCTTAAATAATAAGAGAGATAATTAAAAGAAACTAAGAGGGCCATGTCAGCATTTTGATGAGAGCACCGTGGACTCACATTGGAACCTTTTCGATGCTGGACCAAATCAATTTTGTATACATAATGAGTACATCGGCCTAATCGGTTAATTATTTTAAATTTATATAAATTAGTAGTAAAAAGTCTGTACGGTGTACATAGCCAGATTGAGAAAAATACAGGGTACAGAGAAAATATGATTTTGTAATAGATTTCAAGGAGAATTTTACTTTCGAAACATACATATATCATATTTTATAAACTTTACTATGTATTTTCGGTTGTTTATTTTAATAATGCTTAAATACGGTTTTAAAACTGACACCTACTTCCAAATATGGAATGTGATAATCTTACTGAGACGTGATTTTTATGTTGTTAATATAGACAGTCTTTGGGCCGAGAATACCGATCGGTATTCTCGGCTTTGGGTGCATACGCCATGAAATATCTAAATTCATTAGTCAGTTCGTTTTTTGTTTTAACTTGTATCAGTTGTATCTCGACTTAATTTTTAAAAAGATAACTTCTTGTGAAATAATTTTTTCCCATATTAACCAATATAAACTATTAGTGTTTTAAGTTTTGGACATTTATTTTATAGTTTAGTTATTAAAAGTTATTAAGAACGCATATAAAATGACTCGATTATTTCCGAAAAAATCTCGTCGGGGTTGGGATTTCCGAAAAACGGATTTGTAAGTTTTTAAATTATTATTTATATATGTATAACGCTCAGTCATAGAAAAATATTATTAAAGCCTTAAAAATCTATGGATCTAGAATTTTTTCAATATTCAAACAAACACGGTGTGTGACAAAATTCACATAATTTTAAATTATTACAAAACATCAAACAAAATATTATGAAACAAAATATTAAGAGACAAACATCAAACTTTTTAATTATATTTATGAATCAGGCCAATCAGCGGACTGGGGCCATAATTTAAAATATATAGTTTATAAACCATATTATATAGTTTGTAAACCATATACAGTATGATTAAAAAAACGAGGAATAAAACAGATAACGGCAGCGCATAATAGGATCTCAATCTAATAAATATAAACAACAAGTTTGTTTTTGATTGTCTCAAAACAATTTCGCGTTGTAATGCGTTTATCTAACTGTTACAACTTTTAAACATTATACATTTTTATATATTATACATCTAAGAATTTGTACAGTTGTTATGGAAGTTTATTAAATATTTAAACCAAAAATATCAAATATTTTTTCACAAAAAATTGAGCATGTCTATTAACAATGTTCTTTGTCATCGGGCATCCGTATAATCAATAAATAATCCCACAATTAATTATTACATTTGCTGTTATATTAACCATTCTGTAATATCCT